GAAACTGACAGATGCATGATGGGTATTTAATTTTATCAAAAATGGTGATAAAAATAAATTATATTAAAGCACTCAGTGTTACCAATTGGAATAAAAACATGTTGACACACCAGTCTATATATGGTAGTTTGAAATAAGATGTATAAATGGGAGAGAAGGGTGTGTTTGATAAGCTAGGTATTCTTGGCTAAATTTCTATTTGATTAACAGATTAACAGCAGCACAGTTTGGTTATTATGTTCTACACATGATAAGCAAATATTAATGTTTAGTGACGAATCCCGCTATATTTGACGGACACACGTGCCCCTCCTCTCTTCACAACCCCAACCCCGCTTATTTAATTTCCAGTGTTAGACCTTATCATTTCCTTTACCTTAAGTTCTTATCATTTCATTGATTAAATTGTTATTTGTATCATGCCCATCCCCTCATGTATCCGCATGTGTGTCCTCCACTCCCGTTTTGGCTTAATTCTCTTCTGGGTGCCCTGCTGGTGAGACTGGGTTGTGTCGGGACTGTGTTCTGTGAACGTCTTCTTACCTTGATGGTATCTGTCCTCATTGTTTTCTCGATTGTGTCAACGTGAACAAAATATAATCATTTACAGTCCCAGACAAATTTGTATTTAGGTCAGATCCATATCTAAAGCTTAATTGGCGTTCGCGCCGAAGCGCGGCGCCTTTTATGGAATGAAATCAGATTTTGTGAAAGGGCGACAGCAACTTCTCGAGCCTTTTATAGTTGTTCATAATAAAAGCCGATCATTCCGATCGGTATGAGGGTGCTTGTATGAACTGGAGAATTTCGCAATGCAAACATTTTCAAATTGAATAACCTTTTCCGTCAATAAATCGCGCTCTTCAAGGTATTTTTATTTATCATTTTGTAGTACACAGTGGATTATTATTGTTATTCCGAAAGCTGTAAATAGAATGATGAGTTGATGACCTAAATATTCCGAAAATCTATTTATAGAGGGATGTACTCCTGTCGGTATTCCCGGTCTCTCCTGGTCTATTTTGACGACCGGCGAATAGTACCACACGTTTATTGTCCGGTCTCTCACGGTTTTGGAGTAGATGTTTGATATCGTTACAGAACAGAACAAATATTTTACAGATAAATAAGCTTTTTTCAAAATGAATGTTTGTCACTTAGTTTGGTTACAATAATTAATAAACACAGATCAACTCTCAAAATTATTGCTTATTATTATACATAAACATACAATTCGAAAAAAAAAACCAACAACACAAATCGCATGTTTTATTTTATCTATATGAGATAAAAACAATAAATATGTACAATAATTGAGAAAAAATGTACATTTTTATGGCATTAATATGACACTATCAACTTTGAAACATTTTATTTAATTTGTTATTCGTGTTTAGTAAAGATGCCGAGGAATTATTCAAAGTTACAAATCAGATTTTATGAATTATTCAATTGATTGATAATTTAAGAAATGATAAAGAAAAATACAAATTTACATGTTTATGGTTTAAGAATAAACAATATTATATATTGAAGGATTAACCATAATTTACTGACTTTTTCCAGTTAAGTATTGACTTATTATCGTCGGTCATTATGACAATTGAATTCTTAAAATAGTAGTAAACATAAAAATTCAGTATTAAAATAGTGCATAAAACACAAAAAAGAAAAGAAAACAATATTCATAAAATCTGTATTTTTTTTATTAAAAAAGATATTACAGTTAGTGTATAATAAACATTTATGCTCAACATGATCAACATGGTAATATAACAAGTGTCATATTGTTACTAAGTGTGAACAGATACCTTAAGAGGGTGTCTTCGCTAATAGCGATAACATAATAAGGGACAATTACACAAGTGTGGTGTTGATCATGCGTTACTCATATGGATTATAAATGATTGTATACATGTATATCCGTTGCTATTAATAATCACGGTCATAAAGAAATAACAAGTAATATTCTAATTTCTAGCATGCCAATCAAATTTATAAATAATGAACAATGTCTTTCGTTCGTTCATTCATAAGTGATATACAATTCTGGTAAAAACCAATGAACCATAGAACAGTTTATCATCATATATCTACTAGTTCATCTGCACCTGCTGCATTTCTTGCTTGGACGCCCTTTGATGCTTTGCATCAATGCTTTTCTTGTTAGTTCTTGGAATGGAACGATAATTAGAAAATCTAAATCGATGAATGAAAGTTATTGTGTCACAGAATGTGGAGATGGAGAAATGGCACTACTGTGTCACATTGAAGCTTTTATGATAACCAACGTATGAACACATCTGCGGACGTTTCTAAATTCAAAATTTTACCATTTTAAGTTTAAATGTTGAATTCTGCTCAAGCCGTTGCTACGGGGCGTGGACAGTAGTTTGTACTTGACAGTACCGTCCATTAACAATGCCTGCAACATTTTCAATTTTCTGTGGATTCTTATTTTTTTATATTTTGCAATAAAAACAATATTTGATAAATGTAATGATACCACTATAAAACATACACGAATAGTTAAGCAAGAAGACACGTTTATTAAAGCTAATTGCTCTCTATAAATCATGTTTATCGTCAAGAAAAGATATGCTGTATTTTTCTTTTTTACACTGTGATCCTTCTAAGAAGAACATATTCACATACTTCATTTTGGTTGAATACCTTCTGAAATGACATCGTAGTATTTATGAGATATTAATGAATGAATGTATCTAAAGATACTAAAGCTAAAATTGAGGCTCACATCATTAAATTGCTGATGGCTCATAATTTCCTCTATGAAATCACTCTTATTTATAGTGATTTTATAGACTAAGCTTGTTCTAGTGCATTTCATTATGATTATGTTGCAATTGATAATACCCTATATATAATGTTGTCGAAATAGGATTAAGATTGCAAGAATTATTGATCGTGATAATATTCCGTTGAACTTGGTACGTATGGCATATAATACAGTAAACAAGTGGTTGCAAGGTAACTGTACATTTTATAGAACAAACATATTCGCCATTATTTTCTCGATTCAGTGATGAAAACGGAGGATCAGATTTGAGCTTACAAATGGGATTAGCACTCATGTTCTCTTCTCTTATTGTTTTTGGTTCCTGCTGGGCTCAATGCCAATGGTCCTGTGCTCTGGGTTTAGTTGGATGATGTGTTCATTGATAACCGCCCTTTCTTGTTGATCTGTTTTTAATATATACCGTTTTGATTTCGAAATGAAACACAGTATGCTGTATGTTTGTTCGGGTTTATAAAATAAGTACTCACAAAACCGAAGTGTAACTAATTCACAATAGGTTCAAAACAATAGCACCGGTTGGTAATTATGTTCTACACATGAGAGCTACTTCAAAATAACAATAACCAAATATACGGGTTGAGTGACGAATCCCGCTATATATGGACACAGGCACAACAGAGAAAGCACGAAAACTACACGCTATATATGTGTAGGTTTATGACATTCAACACTCTTGATTATTGTAAATAACACCTCAAATTTGTCGAATAATAACTATTTGTGAAGATCTGGACACGACTAGGAAAACTTGATGTTACTGTATATATTACATAGTGTAAGCGCAAATTTATCAGTCGAATTTTCATTGGTTAACAGTCAAGGTTTATCAGTCATGAACATAACGCGAGGAAATACCTGACTAAATCACTAATGTATTCTGTATGTATAACAATGGTCAGTTTACAAAGAAGCAATTTGACGGAAACCGTGTTTGTCCCATTTCTTAGCATCCTTACATTGTTCCTTTAATTTAGCTTATCATTCCTTTATTATCAATTAATTTATCAAATTGTTATTTGTATCCCCTATCCTCCTGGTTCCGCCCTAATGCACTCCTCTTCAGTTCTTGATTCTGTGTCTTCTGTGTACCCTGCTGGTGTGGATTAGTTTCGTCGGGACTGCGTCATGTGAACGTCGCCTCGCCTTGCCTTGTTGATCTTTGTTCTCGTGTTAATGTGAGCAATAGCACATAATCATTCACAATTTCAGAGTAACTAGTATTTGCGACAGATCAATATCTGAAGCTTAAAGGGACTCCACTGAGGTTTAAAAGCCTATAAACATAACATTTGAATGTCTTACATAAATGAGCTGGGGCACTTTAAACGACATTTGAGGCATCAATAGCATACGGCCACGTTTGACTCTATGGTAACGGAAGCTGGCCTAGTTTAAAAAATTGCCGCACAATTTATCTTTTTTGTTTCCAATTAAGTTGAGGATAAATGCGAGATTTGATAAACACTGCTTTAAACTTTCATTTTAGATAAGGTATTATGTTCCTAATTTGAAATTATATTCCATTCATCAATATTAGAATCAGGTTTCGGTATTTAATTTAGCTTGTTTAGTACAACAAATATGAGTGATCAAAATATAAAGTATACAGATTTAGTTTTTCTGGAATAAATTTCATTTCTTGTCAAGTTTTGAATTTTCTCAACCCTTAAATAAAACAGGAAATGTAATTTGTTAAAAAGAAACCCTTTGGTACGTTTGGAACATAATGTAAAGTACAATAGGCTGATAAATAAAAGTTAATGGAAAACACAAATGTTAAACTTAAAATACAAAATTACTTTTGACTTGAATTAATTTAAACGAATCACATCATTTTAACCGCGAATTTAAACGAATTTGAGTTTAATAAAAGTTTGTACGATTCAATGAAAATTCGCACAATATCATAAGAGAGTTTAAAAAGATGAGTCCTACAACTGATATGTCCAGTTCATCACAATAATTATTATCTACATCCTTAAGTAACATTTAAAAACTTCAGAATATTTTGTAACAAAAATATCTAAAAAGGAGTGTTCCCTCGGAATCATAAATCACAACAAAATATCATGAACATTCAGACTCAGTTTGATTAAGCCTGCACATAAGGATAATGAAAGAATACAACATCCATCACCCCCCCGGACACAAATAAAAATATACCACATCTGAAGATAAAATTTGTTGGAAAAAGAAATCAAGCGTACGGACAGGTTACGGCTATTCAAAGACATTTTAGATCAAAACTACGAGAAAAGCTGTTCAACAACACAACCGAACTGATACACATTCTCTGCACGTGAAACTCGGCTTTTCCCGCTTGTTGGTCGTTGTAATTGTATCATAGCAACAGACTGAAAACAAGTAAAAATGAAACTTAAACGAATTCTTTGTAAACCAAAAGTGCAGACTTTTCAATGACCGCATTTTAGTAATCCTGCTAATGCATTTTCATTAGTGCATTTGTGTTGTATTATTAACCAAAATTAGAATTATCTAATACTCATACTCTTATTTAAATTTTTTCCATAACATTATATATAGAGATGATGCGACTGGTAGAATAATAACTATAGGGCCAGAAATGTAAGCTGAAATGAAACAGATAAACACTCAGCGTTTGTATAGTTTGATCTACCACTATACTCCTTATTTGATCCAATCGTATCAATTTAGCCTCGTTTTTTTTGCCACTACTCCAGTTAGCCTCGTTTTTATTTTGCAACTAACCCATTTAGCCTCGTTATCATTTTACAATTAGGAGGCAGGGGACCTAAAAATGAACAATTTTGTATTTCAGTGTGACCAGAAACACAATTCCAAATATTTCAAAATCTGTTTTACAGGCAGATAACCAGTTGCACAGCATTATTCAATGATATATGACATACATTGAAGAAAATTATAGTTTGCATGCATTGCTCCTTCAAAAAATGACTGAGAGTAATTTATATTTACCCCCACCCAGCCAAAATCACACCTAAAATATTCCAATATGGGCAATCTTCATGAAGGTGCAGCATACTCCAGAATCCGCCCGATTCCTTTAAAAATATCAGTAACACACAGTGCAAGCTATGGCATTTTCAGAAATGACCAATAAAGTGTCTGTCATACGTTTAGATTTTTCACAAAATTTATCTGAAATTTCTTACTTGTTTGGCGCCAACTGTCAAAGATTGATTTTTAACTTTTTCACCTCCATTCGGAGAGTCAGAAATACATACAAAGCTACCAAAATGCTTAGTTTCGGGTAAAAGCCCAAAAATACTTCTCATTTCCTACACACAAACAAGAAAGAATTACAATGACAGAGAAATATCAGAAGTTATCAGTACCTTCAAAACACCATGTCTGAGTTATTAAAAAATTTGACCGGGGCCATCATTCGAATATGTCCCCTGCCCCCTTAAAATAAAATCATCAAGCTACCATTGATCTTTCTCTAGCCTCATTTTCGTTTTGAAAGATAATTCGCATCCAATCCTTTTTTAGTCTAAAGTTCCTTCCCCTCTTACATTAATTACTTTCCGCAGTAAATGCAGGCAGGGAGCCAGATTAATCCTTTTAAGTAACAAAGTTTTGTCAAAATGTCCAAAAAAAAATTGTCAATGTGAAATTGTTGCCGGAATATTATTTTGAGTATAATACACATTCTATTAGACTCGTATACAGTTCCCATAACCTAGAACTTTGCTAACGCATCGTTCAATACAGGTTTGGTAGCTTTGTACTCGTAAAATAGAGTTCATACAAGTATACTCGTCTATAGAAAATATATATTTATATACACTCGACATAGGTAGACTTAATAACATTTTAAGGCTGGTCTCGATTCATTGAAGTTTAAATAGAATGACAGCCACTGTCATGTATTTGCTATATTGATTACATTGTATGCTCACCATATAAAAAGTTGCAAATATGGCATATATCATTAATTGAAACAAAGACATATCTAAAATACATTGCATACAACTTACGTTGGTTAATAAGTTCAAGCGAAGCAATATCGAGCTCGTTGTAATCTTTTTTAAGGCTAGGTCATTAGAATGTAGGCAGCTCAAACACTCAGCCAACTGGTATGCTACACATAGTTTCTCCCATTGTGTCATTGTCCCCCCATGTAAATGATCTTGTAGAGAAATTATTCGAGTTCCACGTTTGAGTCTCCTCGCCATAAAGTACGGTAATGTGTCAAGAACTGCCGCCGTAGCGATTTCTACATTACAAAAAAAATCATTACTTTTCTTTGTAATTTTCATTTCTTTTGTTTTTATTCTATTCGTTCACCTTAAATTATTCTCAGTCACCTATGCCGTATTTTATGCTATCGATTTTATAGATACCTTGAGATTTATGTATAGAGTGCGCATGCGAGAGGATTGAATGTTCCCTTTTGGGTATATTCAATTTCCAGACATGAACAACAAAATCTTTCATTATAGAAGGTATTGCATAATGAAATCTATTGAATATTCTTTTGGATCATTTGAAAAGTGTGAACAGTGTTAAGTTATAATCAGCTGTGAAATTTGAAAACGAAAAGATAAACATTCAGAAATATTTTATTTAAGATGAAATTGCGTAAATATAATCATATGATTAGCGTCTTTTATTTTCCTTCCGTCCGATATACTTAGATTGGTCAAAAGAGTATAAGTGTCAAAAAATTAAGACCGTTTACCAATCTTTATCTTGAAAAGAATTACATTTCTCCCGTGATGTGTGTGATAGCCACACTAAAATGATTGATACTTTTATCCGGTTGATGGTTGGAATCCAATATTTTTTCTCAAACTATGTCGGTCTTTTCATAGTTTTTAATAAATGCAATAAGAATTTTTTTTATGTTACATTTTTATGTTTTACGAGTTTCATGTAACATGTTTACCTTTTCCTAAGTCGACACGTACTTGTTCGTCTACATCCGGATTTAATTTCTGAAATATTAAAACCCTTTTAACATTAAAGTAATGATTTAAATTTCAAATACATGTTATTGTCCTTAACACATTCATCTACACTTTTAAAAGGGTCACTTTTCCCTGTTTGCCTTTGCAATCATTTTTATGTATTTAAAACCTAATATTGTTTGGCATTTCAAACGGACTGACAGACATACGGGGGATCTTTAAACCTTCCTTGTTGAAACCAGACTATAACATTTTTAAAAACAAAATCCTTAAACTAAAGAGGGGATAACTCTTTAAATAAAGATGCTAGACTTATGAACCTTGTCATAAATGATAAGATAGATGACTTTAAATAATTATATTGAGCCACTTATATTAACAAAGAAGAAAAGTGAAAGAATATAACAAATTTTCAAATATGTATCATTAATAGTAACAAAGAAGAAAAGTTAAAAAAATAATAATTTTCAACAAAATTCAGAATGAAACTTAATCATTGAAACCCAACATTTTTTCATGAAAATTCTAAGTTCAATGGGAGTAATGTTGATAACATAGGTGCTAGAGTTATGAACCTTGTCACGTATGATGGGATTGATAGAAACATATTTGAAGTAGATACCTTAAAATTGCAAACCTCCAGATGAGCCAAACTATTTCAAGAAAATCAATATTGAGACAAATATACTATTTTTTTTTTTAAAATAAGTAAAAATACTCAAGATCCAAGTTATATTGTTCATGTTATGTGTGGTTTAAGACTGATTTTGCAGTATTTTATTACCATATTTCTACTGCGTTACTAACGCAGTAAGTGCTATTTTTGCATACGTTAGCGACATTTTGGTAATTGTCTTGGATTGTAAGTGCCGATTGCAATATATAAATTACTTCTTTTTGTTCACCTCACAATATTTTACTTTTAAATACATTTCCAAAATTTTCATGAAAATTAACACGAATTTCGAGGGGTGCTGCTTTAAGATATAAAGAAGTTTTAGTGAAAAATTTTACTGCGTAAAAAATCTAATCGGAAATCTAGACGCGGTCGCCAACTCTAGGAGAGTAGTCAAGCTCTCAATATACTCCGTATAGTCGAGCTTAAAATAACGTATACTCTCCAGGCTCCATTAACCCATATTTCAAGTTACATGAAACTATTTTCAGTACTTTAAGCGTTATAAAGCTATGTATAAGCTAAAATCTCTTACGATTAAACCGGTAGGGAACTAAAAGTGCTGAAAGTGCTTCAATGTTTATTTCGTTGAACATTTCGTAAACATGTAATAAAATTAGTTGATCAAAATGACAATAATTATGATGTATTATTATATTGTAATTAAACTGACGTTACCATTTTCCCAAATATTGTAAAAAATGTGTACAGGAATGGGTTCATAGCCGACTTAATTGGTAAAATAAAAATTGCTGTTCACGCATACACATCTGCTGGTACGTATTTATCTCTTAACGCCATAATTCCTAATTCCATAGCCCAATATCGATCCGAGAAAAACTAGTATACCTATTGAGCAATTCGAGTGTTTTTAGAAATTTCAAATCAAGAAATGCTCTTGATTGAATCAGAAAAATGTCATTATTACTTAAATCCAGGTGAAAAATGTTAGGAGCAAGTTTCACTTCTAATGATATTGATCTTGCTGTTTGAAGCAAAAAGCAATGCTAAGAAGGACAGTGATGTCCAGTGTTAACGCATTGTACTCGTAATGGGCATTGCTGATGTCAGATTTACGTGTCAAAAAAGGTAAATAAGCTATCACATTGTGGGGTGCTGCTTTTAGATATAAAGAAGTTTTAGTGAAAAATTTTACTGCGTAAAAAAATCTAATCGGAAATCTAGACGCGGTCGCCAATTCTATGAGAGAAGTCAAGCTCTCAATATACTCCGTATAGTCGAGCTTAAAATAACGTATATTCTCCAGGCTCCATTAACCCATATTTCAAATCACATGAAACTATTTTCAGTACTTTAAGCGTTACAATGGGGTCCAGTTTTTGTGGACGGACGGACGGGTGGACAGACAGACGGACGGACGGTAAACCTAAAATCTCATACGATAAAACTGGTAGGGAACTTAAAGTGCTGAAAGTGCTACAATGTTTATTTCGTTGAAATATTTCGTAAACATGTAATGAAATTAATTGATCACAATGACAATTATGATGATGTATTATTATATTGTAATTAAATTGACAATACCATTTTCCCAAATATTGTAGAAAATGTGTACAGAAATGGGTTCATAGCCGAATTAATTGGCAAAATAAGAATTGCTGTCCACGCATACACATCTTCTGGTACGTATTTATCTCTTAACGCCATAATTCCTGAAATTTAGGGAAATAAATATAACATAGCCCAATATGGATCCGAGAAAAACTGGTATACTTATTGAGCAAGGTTTTTTTTATTAATAATACGGTACATGATGATTCCATAGAAAAAAAATAAATTTCCGTATTATTTGTTACACAAACATCATTTACATCAAACGCTTTGCATTAAGGGAATTGAGAACCAAAAGTGGCCCTTTAATCAGCTTTGTTATCTATCGTTGCTTCTTCTTGTACTAAATTACTCGGAATTACTATTATAACATGTATCTACTATCCCAAGCAAAATAAATAAAACATCCCATATATAAAATGAGTTTGCTTACCTTTCACTTTGTTTTTTTAGATTTAAGGACCAGGATCAAAGCTTTGTTGTTAACGCATATACTTAATATTTATTATCATATTAATAAAAGTGGAATTTGAAATAGCATTTTTATGAAATTTTAGAATAAAATACAAATGGTTAAAACTTAAATTATAAAAGTTGATTCAACTATTGATCTTATTATGAAATTGATCTTTATTTTGATCCGAGTATTCTTCTATTTGTATTGTTTTACTACAATTACATCCCGAAGCAGCGTTTTTTATTTGCAAATATGCAATATATTAAATCTTATTTATATTTTGTAATACGACCAATATTTATTTCATGGTATAATGAAAATAAAACCCCGGTCATTTAGTCCTGATCTAAAACACGGGCGCCAGCTTCTCAAATTGAAAAACATTGAAAAACTGATATCAATTAGAAATGGCTGACGAATTATTTTGGTATTACATGATCATTAGCAAACCACATTACCCATACAACCGATTGGAAACCAACACAAGAAATCCGTCAAAACAAGCAGGAGGAGATTTCTTGCAACCGTCAAATCGTTTGTTCTTGCCACATTCATTCGCCGTTTTTGCTTTGACTGTTTCTTAATCTCCAAGAAGATCAAAAGCTGGCCTAGTGCAATAAGTAAGAACAGGATAAAGTTTAGTCCAATGAAGATTACGACAGAGTATTGCCAGCCTGGTGTTTTTTCGCGTGTCAAGGGTAGTGCGAGACAGACTGGAGACCTTCCGTAGAAAGCCGTTCCAAAATAATTAATCCCAGATAGCGGTATAAAAGCAATGATACATGCAAACAACCAAGATACTGCTACTGTAACTGAAGCAGAAAATGGTTTGAATCTTAATGTTCCAAGAGGAAATTTGATGACTAGTATTCTGTCAATAGTAATGCAGCAGATTAGCACGACACTCATTTCTGATGATATTGTAGACAACACGCCTGCAATCATACACCACGTGCTCTTTCTCCAGTAATCATCAACTTCAATGTATCTGAAAAATAGGGGAAAAAGCTAGCATTTGTGATATTAACAAACACCCCCCGGGCGAAGTATATTTAAAATTAAGATGAAGTCCAATGTTTTTGTTTCCAATGTCTTAGAAAAATATTCCGGGATTGTTTTTCTTACGTGAGTAATTCTTCGTGATCAAAATGATTTATACACATTGACTTGCGTCGAGTAAATCTTGCTTATAAAAAGGATTAACTAAAATTCATTAAAATGTGCTTTATGAATACCTATTTCTAAACATTTTGTCTGCTACTGCGATAATCAACAAGTAAATGCCCATCAACAAATCTGCTGCTGATAAGTTCGTCACAAATATCCCATAGCCTAGTTTGAGTCTTTTACTGTCGAATACTACGCGGTAAAGCATTGACAGAATATTTCCAACAATAGATAAAATACAAATCGTCCAGAGAAGAGCTTGTAATGTGGTATTCCTCATCAAATCTTCGCAGGAAGAAAATTCATTTTTGTGTGGTAAGCAGTTCTCTTCCGATAAATCTACTGGTTTGATACAGCATAATCTAAACGATGGAGTTTGTAAGGATTTTAAATCTTTTATCCCAACAAATACATCACTGTTAAACTCTTTTATAGGATTTTTATTCACATTTAAGAATTCAACGCTTAAATTATCAAAAGCAAATGCGCTAATAGATTCAATGTCATTCTCAGATATATCAAGATTTTGGACATTTAATCCGGAAAATGTTTGAGCATTCAACACTTTCAATTTTGCCTTGTTAATTTCCAATATTGACAATTTCAAACCGATAAAGCTGTACGACTCAATTGTTGCCAGTTTTTTGTTCCCGTGCAATTCGAGTGTTTTTAGGAATTTCATATCAAGAAATGCTCTTGACTGAATCAGAAAAATGTCATTATTACTTAAATCAAGGTGAACAATGTTAGGAGCAAGTTTAAATGTTTCAGTTCTAATGATATTGATCTTGCTGTTTGAAGCAAAAAGCACTGCTAAGAAGGGCAGTGATCGCTCCAGTGTTAACGCATTGTACTCGTAATGGGCATTGCTGATGTCAGATTTACGTGTCAAAAAAGGTAAATAAGCTATCACATTGTGGGGAGACCGCGGACATGAAACACTGTAACCCAGGCAAGTACAATCAAACGGACAAACAAAATCGCAAATCTGTTCATCATCTCGGTGTGGACAATCATATATCCCGTCACAAAATTTTGAAAATGGAAGACAAACTCGGCTGAGACTGCATCTGTATTCATTTTTACACAATTTCCCTGAAACTATGAAAACAAACGTCATGATATTCTAAGAAGCTTCAGTAATAGCTGAAGCGCAAGCAGGTTCAGGCAATCAAATATAAGATCGATTACCTTTATTTGAACGAAGTATGTAGGCTGTATCAATATAAAGTAATAATACAAACATTATTTACAAAAGAAATAACAATGTCATGATACAAGCGTGATATACATGTGATAGGTCTACTTCAAAGTTAATTCTAGTTCATAATAACATAACATCTTATAGTATTATATAATATGTATGATACGTGAAAGGACATGGTTATCGTTGACAACGTACAGTCTTTTTAATGAAACTTCTGAAAACAAACATCGCTAAATTTTTAACTATCCACACATTTCCAAAATTCATATAGTTATCTTAATTTATGTGCATAAGGTATTCTATGAAAATATCTTTTTTCATCTGCCTTTGTCTAATATCTTGGTACAGAGTACATAAATGAAATTCATCCTCTAGATGTTGCATAGTCTACATTTTCTTTTATGAGGCTTATGCCATCTACTTGATGCTTCTTTTTATAGGATAATGTGCTGTCAGTTTCAGTCTTGTCTATGCTTTGGTTCACTAAATTTCACAATTTTTTATAAATGCCTAAATATGGCTGATTTCTAACACATTAAAATGGACTAATATCCAGGCTCTTTTCTAAAAAAAGCGTTCCTAAATTGTAATACATAAGCACACAATTTATTGTAACTACATCTTAAAACATGCTTTTGTTACCAAATCCTTGAAACAGCCACATACGATCAAAACTTAAAGAGCCTAACAAATATCAAATGTTATATGCCAATGAAATGTTTTACAATTTTATATACAAGTTACCTGTAATAAGGACAATTGAATTAACCATAAAGGAATACACAGACATTTCTTTAAAGCAAAGAATAATATTAAATTACCAGTACAATTTTCGAATAGTATGTCTGGCCCAATTGTTCGTAATAATCCCATGCTTTGCACTCGTATTTCTGAAATGCTGCCGTGATTAATTTTCATCGGATATTGTTCTGTTGGGTCAATGACAATTTTCCACGAACGGTTGAATGAACTGAACAAGTCTGGAAAAGGTGTGTCCTTCAAGGGCAAGGATCGAGTCTCCACCCAAATAAGCTCTCGATACAGATTTGTCGCGTTTAAAGCTACCAGTATATTTTTGATGCAGGAATCTTCATGTTTAGTACAGTTCACTCTTGACCGGGTAAGGATAGTATCATACAAGTATGCATCAATTTCCTGTTCATTGTCCCCATTCTAATAAACAGAAGACAGGCACATATTTCATAATATCGCTGCTGTGATAAAATTTTGAAACTTCAAACAAAATTATTGTATAAGATTTAAAAGCATTCCGTTAGTTAAAAATTATTTCTAGCTGTGTCCTAAATACGATTTATTATTATGCTGCAGTTGTATTACACAGTTTTACCTTTTCAAATATTTAAAAAAAAAGTTGTTTGTCAAATGGCGCCGCACCAGGAAAATGATTTACAACATAATGCAACACCAGGTGTCAAAAGCATCTCGCAGATAAATACATAGACTTGGTTCGGAGGTTTCGTTCTGTGAACGTTGCATTGTCTGGTTGATCTTTGCTCTTATTGTTGTAGTAATTCGGACCAATATAAATCGCCTCTTACGATCCCTCAGGGCTATACGGTGGCAGCAATTCTAATGCATCCATCCTTAGAACAATGCAACTCCTTAAGCGCAAGGGGTGTAAAAGTTGTATTATAATGAATCTTATCTGAGTGAAAATATATAAAATGTTTCATAATGAAAGTACAAAAGGACAAATAGAAAAAGAAAAAGCGACTTAAGCAGAGAGCAGTCCCCACTCACAATCCCCTACCAGACAATAGAGAAAAACAGAATCATTAAAGGAAGCCCAACACGACAAAATTGAAAATGTTGCAGACTCGGTTTGATTGAGTCTGTTCATTGACGGTACTGGAAAGTGCAAGTTACCGTTCACGCCCCCTAGCATCGGTTAAAGCAGAATACAACATTTAACACAAAACTGGTGAAATTTTGAATTGGGAAACATCCGCAGATGTGTTTATACGGCGGTTATCATGGAATCTTCAATGTGACACAGTAGTGCCATTCCATGGAAAGCGGCATATGGTCTCCAAGTAAAAGAATGTTTTTGCCCTAAACGAGATAAGAATGGGCGGAACTAAATAAAATTGAATTTTGGAAGAAATCCCAGAACACCCCACCTACACATTACCGCTGTACAGTTACCCACCATGGCGCCCTATGTAGGAAAGGACAAGAAATAGAGCAAGGAGGGGTCATAACATTCACTTTCACAATTAACGCTAATGAGTACCTAAAGGGTAGCTTATTTAATTGAATGTAGATCAAGAATAACAAGGATAAGATTACAGAATTAAGATTTAAGGGCTGGAGGTAAAATATTGGGTATAAAATCATAAATAATATGAACTCAGTCGGGCATCGCCTTAGAACTGCCAGTTGTAAAACCGCAAACTTGGGAGTTTAACTGGAATATGGATTAAAGTTATTGTAGCGAACCAAACAATAATACAGATTATAATTTAAATACGCTGTTTGGTTTAACTCCTCTTAACTTCAATTACTATCGATTTTGACAGGTTATTATATTAAAAAAGGGTACATGCTCCGTTATCAATTTACGTTCATTATATGCAAGAGTCTGTACAAAGTTGCAGTTTTTTTTTCAAATCATTTTACTTGCGCATCATAGTTATGACGAAAGAGCCTAAGTGACCTAATCAGTTTTGAAAATGCAAATGCTAGCTACTTTGACAGTAAAATCATGTTGTCTTCAGAAAGGGTTTCATGCACTTGTATTGAATGTATAATTTACCTTTTTTGGTAACTTTTGAAACAACACTAACTTGCTATTCCATAGCTTTGCAATATTGTGTAGTGAAAACATCTCCATACCTCCCATGATATCATTGTAATCAATTCCAGCAATGATTCGTGTACTTTTAATCGAATTACACACTGTAATTTAATAGATTACGAATATTGCTTAACATATGATTAAGTAAAAAAGTAACGGTTCTTTCCTCTTTAACAATGTTGCTGCTTTTAATTTGTTTTTCGAATAGTTTTTCTGTTTGCAGACATTTTAAGTATTATAGAGATCATAAATGAACTTAGAGTATAATAAAATTAAACTTATACCGTCTACATGTAATTTGAAGATGATGGACGAGACAAAAATTGAAGATTCAGGTTAGCTACAGGAATAAAACCTGATTGATAAAATCGTAAATGCAGCAATATAACAATTACTTTTATTCCACTTAATAATATATCAATCTGTTATCCGTAATATCCAAGCATGCTACAATCAAATATCTCATTAAAGGGAGACACAGGTAAAATTTCATTTCTTAGTTTTGAGTTTTTCATTCATTTTTCTGTAAATGTCCTCAAAAGAATACACTAGGCAGTCACATGAACAAAACTTTTCTCCTTGAAAAGAATAAATTGATGGTTTAATAAGTTGACCCGCGTGGGTCAGGTTAGAGCATTATGATCACCCAATAGTTCTCACAATGAACTCTGGAAACATTTAATTACGTTTAAAATGAATAACCTACATTTATTTAAATCATACAATATCCACTATATCTGTAATTGTCACTTTCAGGGTTTGTTAAAGTCACATGACTTCTTTTAAAACAACGTGGGAATTCTGTCGGCGTCTAAATTTCGTTCAACATAATTATATAGATATATTCACGCCTCAAACACAAAATATATAGAAACTATACAGAAATTCATGCTTGGACTTTGAGATTTTAGCGTGATTTGAGTGCATTAAATCTTATTAATATTTTCATCATTAATTTAAGTATCCTTTTAAATCTCTTACATTGACATTGTGATTCATCTTCGTTTCCATTACAATGTTTTATACCATCACATACAAACTTTTGCGGGATACAATAACTCTCTGGACATTTAAACAATCCAGGTCCACAGACAAACGATTCTGAAGTTACAAAATGTATGACATGTTTAACATTTGAAATATTAAAGCAGAACAGATTAGTGAAGTAAAGAAATAGAAACCCCTAAAATAAGTACAAAACGGCAACGTTGAAAATGTGAGCTAGTTCATGTGCGGTACTCGAATATTAAGCTATCGTCAACACCCATTTCACCGGTCCGTGCAGAATGCAACATTTAGCATGATTTTACTTTTGGAAAAAACAATTATTATTATAATGGATATAAACAGAAAAGAAAGTTCTTTTAACATTGATTAACATGACTTACATATAGTAAATGTTTTATGCATGATTTGTAAAATAAGGGTATTTTTAGTTGTGTTCAAGGAAGGGAGACCGTAGAGAGATAAAAACTGTTCGCTTACATTTGGAACATCTTAAATGTTTATGTCATTAAAGCAAATTTAACGCGCAATAGCTTATAGGGAGCAAATACGAAATTACACATATCCAAGGAAATTTCATACCACAATTAGAAAGATGTTTCATTGATCTGCACGCTCCACTTTTCCATGAATCGTCTGTCGTGTAAATACATACATGATCATGTTGTGTTGATTCGGCAGCTGCATCACAGAATACAGGAGGGCTTGGTCGCAAAGAATCTAACGTGATAATATATTAATATGAAGAAAGAAGAAACAATTAGGTAGAAATTAATAACTACATTAACAGCATAATGATAACAAAATGTAAAAATGAAAATTACAAGAACAAAAATAAAATAAATAAATACACTAAACACCTATTGCGAATATATAGAAAACTATATGTTCGAATAATTTAGGAACAAAGATTATGAGAAGATTACAGTATAAATCGAATTATTTAGAAACAAATTCAATAAACAATAATAAGGGACATTATAAATCAAAGTTATTTCTTGTATAGTTCAGCATGATATAGAAATCAACGAAATGAATGAAAAAATATAAAAGGTAACACAGTTACAAGTTTGAAATATACAGGAATATGTACACTAGCCTGGTCCTTTACTGGTTTACTGTTGGTTGGAGCAGAGAAAGAGTTAATACCTTTTAGAAAAATTTCATCATGCAAAACGTTTAATACTTTCGGTATTGTATTGTAAATATTGATCTTTTGATAAGACTGAATGAAATTGCTAGTAACCGTTTTATTCTCTTGTAGACCTGATGTAAACAAAACGTTCTCATCAAGTAAAGAAAAAACAAGTGGCAATACCAAGTGTCTTTCATTAGCCATTTTTCTGAAATTTTGATTTGGTTCGGTTGGTTGGTTGGTTTTGCGTTCATTGAACGCCGCCTTTCCTTGTTGATCTTGTTTTTCATATTTTTTGCAAAGTATGGACATATCTCAATAGTATAAAAATAGAGAGAAATAGAGAATCCCTAAAGAAGGAACAACAAGACAAAATTAAAAATAATACAGACTCGATTTGATTGTGTCTGTTCATGGACGGTATTGGAAAGTGCAAGTTTCCGACCACGCCCCCTACCACCGCCCATGAACGGCTTTCATGCATAACCAACTATTTGAACGGGTGTTTAATAAGTTTAATAAGGGTCTATCCACCCTTATAGGTACTGATAATACGGACTCCAACAAACAACAGGTAACCAGTAATTTCAAATAAATCTATAATGTAAAATGACTATCTCTAATTCACCATGAATTTAGAAAAAGCGTTAGTTGACAGAACATGTTTAAATGACAATATCAATGGTAAGAGAAAAGTTAAATTTCGCCTACGAATTCGATTATCTTTCTATTGTTACAAGAGGAAGGACATTGTAAGCAATATACATGTACTATGGGTGATTAGAAGGAGAAAACCGCACTGGAGTATTACTTAATGAGATGACTGTGAATATGAATTAAACAGTAATGATTACAAAAGCTCGATGTTATATTTCATACCTTTAATGCATATGATACTGTGTATATGGAAGGGGTGGTCTTGGAAAATCCGTGCATTCCATATGCTGTATTCATCCGACGAAGTTTCTAAGACAAGTCCATTATCCGATAAATGCCTAAACCTTCATGAATACAAACTTGCGTGCATTATATGTCGTAAACTGAGTGAATGTTTTGCAATTTTATATCATTGTCTAGGGTGCCTTAGGTTGATAAAGGTCTAATTGCGTTTGTGTAATGAAAACAGTAGAAAAGTTATGAATGTTAAGTAATATAATAATAAGTTTCAAAATGTTATTTTATTTTCCACAAGTTTTCTTAGAATTAAGAGATAACTTTTTAAACCCTGGCCATATCGCTTTTCTGCAACAGGCTGAAGGCAAATACTATTTTCTAAACCATAATGAATTCTAGTAAGCTAAACAAAATGCAAAACGCAGTACACTGTAGTAAAGTATTTGTAAAATCTACTAACCCTGATTTGTCAAGAGTTGCATTGTTAACATTGAATTCGAATTGATTGAACGTTGATCTATATGTTGCCGATGTCATTGCACCATCAGATAAATCTGCCACCCTTTCTGATCTTTTAAGCACTCGGGAAATCTGGAAAATAAGATAAAAAATAAAATAACATAAAGTATTGTACTGTTTTGCATTGATTAACACAATTTATCATAAAAAGCATCAATAATTAAATTTTCGTCAAGAATGTGCTAAGCTTTGCATAGCATCACTTTTCATTTTGCCAATTCTATGCCATGCACTTCAATTTGTAAAGTTACGTATTAGTTTTTATTTTTATATCTTACTTCACAAAAGTAATTACTATCAAAAATCATACCTAAAAAACTACTGGTAACGTTTATTTGTCTGATAAAAGAGTGGGGTATTCTTTTTTATAACTTTATTAGTTTATGTAATTTATCATAAGCATTTTTTTATTTTAAATTATTTGTTTATTTAATAGTACAATAACCAATCTTTTTAAATACATTACTTATTCAGCTCTATTTAACAGCACAATTTTGTATGAGTATATTGGAAGATTTGTTTGTTTGTTTCATTTTACGCCTTTTTCCAACAGTATTTCAGTCATATAGGCGGGTAGTTTCCTAACCATCGTTCCTGGAAAGTTACACCAGTACTAGACTTCCTTCCTCCGCGCTAAACTACCAAAGCATCTCCCGAAATCGAACCAACGCCAAAGAGGTAGGTAGATTAGAAGTCATCGACTCTAACTCCTCGACCACAAAAACAATTAATAAATAAAATTGTTTTTTAAATATATTTCTTATTCAATGACCATATTGAAAGATAAACGAACAATAAATTCTATTCTAAGATGTTCACAATATAACCCTTTTTAACTGGCACGACGATATATGGATATATGCATGCAGTAAATAAAGGATTGCCAATACGTCATATGCCGTCAATAAACACACTGACGCCGGAGAAATTACATCTCAGCCCAATTTACTTCAAAATCCTTTCATCAGCTATCTTTTAATAAGCATTTAATAATGGAAACAGATATAAGATGGAACTATTTTATTTCTATATCTTCGAGCTCAAAAATGCAACATACTAGGGCAACGCACTCAGTCTAATTTCTAAACATAATCTTAACGTTTGTTGACTATCGCAGATTTCTGTATACCATGGAACAAACTTTAAATCTGATGTTAAAGTAAAACACCAGTCCCCATTGACTATTTTAAAAACGTTCTGAACTTTTGTAGAAAACTAACAAATTGGATGCGCCTTTAAAGCAAAAGAAAAAATGCAATGGTTTTAATGTAATGTTAGCGTATTGCATATCAGTTGAAATTAACATGAATCATATTTTTCCAATTTATACCAAATCATCACACATAGTAAGTAAAATAAGATTCTATCTAATCAAAATATAACTTACCTTCAGTGAACAATCATAACCTTCTCTTGCAGCATGTTTAACAGAATCAACTGGATGTATTTTAAGTTTTTCGAAATGAGGCGTTGTCTACAATTAAAAAGATACTTTTAGAAATAAATATCGCCAATATATTTTCACAGTTATTAAGACGAATGGTGCATTCTTGCTTTAAGCGGTACCAGGGGGCATGAACCGAAGCTTGCTCTTTCCATTACCATCCATGACTAGGGTTTATCAAACCGAGCCTGTAACATTGTTAATTATGTCGTTTTTGGTGTTCCTAAGGTATTACGTTCTTCTCTATTTTATTGCAGTAACTGGTTATTATTTTTTATTACCTCTCTTATGGTGGTTAAAAACAAACTAATTTGATAAACATCTACTGTATCTAATGCAAGGTTGACTTTTCTTGAGCAATTTTCAAGTAAGGGTTATATTCATAAAGTAAATCTGAGGTGTCAAATAATAAATTTTAAGGGTCACCTTTGTAACATTTATCGTATTTGGTTTTATTCTTTTCTATATTTGTTTCTCAAACTTTAATTTCTTAGGATGAATATGCAATTCGAAAAAGGTATAATTGTTATTTTGAACATCAAATAAAATATTTATTTGGAATGATGTCATACAGGTAAGTTTGAGAAGGCATAATTCTTCAAAGTTAGATTCAGAAAGACGTGCACAGATGCACCAGAATCAATAGAAAATGTGTAACAATTGACAGATTCCCATTCTGTGAACGTACCTCGAAGCATTCCCAGTCCGGATGGAGAAACGTCATGTTTGTAAAGTTTTTGTCAAACTCGCATTTTACCTCCATTTCATCTGCAATAGAGAAATCCGGATCTTATATTGATTTTGTCCGTTTATTTCGGGAATACACTGAAAATAATTCAGCATTAAAATTCAATTGAATCTCATGTTTGCAGAATTTTTATTTTACTTTCAATAGGTATATAGTGCTTGCACAGTGTAAAATCCTTACTGTGTCCATGTATAAGTTTTAGTCCTTTTGGAAAATTGATTCCAACATATACTTGAGACTGAATACAACATTAATAAAGACAAACTTTAATTATCTCTCATTTAATTCTGAGTATAAAATATTCATGTCTCTAAATTTTCTTTTATTGATCTAGAAGACTCTGCGACTTAATTATAGTGTTATTTAGTATTATTTGTTGTCAAAATCTATTATTTTTGAAGATGTACATACATTTTTTCAGGCATTTTATTTTGAGACAAATTGTCAGCTTGATGCTACACTAGACATACATGTATAACATTGTTAGAAACGGAAATGATATGCTCAAGACATATATAGGACTTGTATTTCAAACCAGAATCAAAATGCTCCCGGTATATAAAAGTTTCGAGAGGGCGCTTGAGACAATCGGAGCATGAAAAAAAAATCTGTGACTATGATGCACAAATACACACAGACAACAACAAAAGTTCATATAACCCACCGATGATATACAATCCGGATTCAGTATGACCTTCCGCCCAAACGTCATCACACGATTTAAACGGTGTATCAGTACACATTTCCTCATCAGAACCGTCCTTACAGTCTTTGTGTTTATCACATTTGAGACGGTGTAATATACATGTCTTATCACGACACTGAAAGGCTTTCGTTGAATTGCAACTTTCTATAATCAGAATTTAGACACACGTTTAAAGTGTATAAAGCTATATATCTGATGCAAAAAATATTGTTTGAATTTTAAAAAAATGTGCTTCCAAAATGCTTTTTACGAAATAAATATCTTAATTGATTGCCTTAAAAGCATATGGCACATGCACAAAATCATTGCTAAACGGATAAAACCCTACTTAAAATAGCAAAATATTATTTCTTCCGGAACATTTTATTCTGTTTACGTACATTATTAATGTGTATTAAATAACAAGGACATTCTATGATACAACTTTTTCGGGAATCAACCAAATAATAATGGAACCAATTTAATTTTACTGTTGATAAATTTCATTAAAATATTTCATAAGATATATATTTATGCCCTGTAATATTTGTCAATATCAAATAATTATGTAATGTATGTACCTTGTTGAAACGTGTATTATTTATCAAAGATAGATAGAAAAGCATGACCGTGCAACTTTTATGATGAAACATTTTTAATTAAGCATAGATCCTAGTCAAACCTGTATTTGTGTCTCTAATGATGAAATACATTTTAATTATCATCTAAATTCCTTAAAAAAAGGAAAAAAATAAGAAGGAAAAACGTAATTCATCATTCCATATCTCAGTTTCAACATACATTTATATATATATATATATATATATATATATATATATATATATATATATTGCATTTTTACGGTACATTTTTAGTAAATTGTTTGACAAACATCTTGTTGCAAAGATAACTAAATAGCCCCCACCGAAAAAATAAGTGTGGTAAATTAAATAAAATTAATAAGCATGAAATTGAAACTATTAGAAAAATGAAACCAAAGTTTCAAGTATTGTGACAGCAAGTAAAAAAGTATTCAAACATTTGTTGTTTTTTTTTTGCATTTTTAACACATTGTAAGTGATGTTTCTTAATTCAAAATTTTAACATTGTCATATTTTAATGCTGAATTTTGCTTACGGCGGTACCGCGGGGTGGCCATGGACGATAGCTTGCACTTTCCAGTACCGCCTATGAACAACTCAATCAAACCAAGCCTTAAGCATTTTCATTTTTGTCGTTTTGGGCGTTTTTTCTCTCTATTTTTAAGACATGATACATAAATACACACGTTTGAGTTTTATTATTTGCGCAACCTACAACCAATTAGCTGCTAATATACAACAATCAACTTTGTTTTTTTTCTCAGAAAAATCTTACGACACAATATCTCATCCGACCCGTCTAAACAGTCTTTATATCCATCACATCTCTTTGCCAAAGGTAAGCAGCGTCCTTCTGGGCATCGGAATGATGTCTCACTGGAACAAACTCCTTCATCTTGTCATGTAAAATAAATATTATATATAACTAATGATTTAAAGAAACCTATTACAATTTTTAATGTAAGGCAAAATACCATCTTCTCCCCCCGTCCTAGGTTTTTTTTATCGTGTTTCTAATTTAGGTCTAAGATTTTATTTCCGATTTGTTTTTATGAGCAACCGGATTGCTCAAGGTCTTAATTTGAAATACATTGTACTGACTCAGAGATTCATACGATGTTCTGTTTTGCCAAAATTATTGAGACATTATTTCATTTTACTGTTCTAATAGTTTGGCTTAGTCTATGATTTTATCTACAGTCCATGGCTAGTGAGTCATCAAAATGGCTGCCAACAAGGTGCTAAACCACTGCTTTAGCAAATATGATATATTTAAGATTGACTCTCTTACTTGACTGAATGTTTTGCTACAATGCTTTCTTTTCAACATGTTTCTATCTTTGGGGTAAACAATAAGTATTTTCTGCTTGTTTACAATCCATTGTCGTCTGCAGCAAAATGTCTGACACAAGAAAGCATTGACAACTGAGCAGAAAGTAATATATCTTTGGCAAGTGATGCCATTTCACAACAAAAAATTTGCAGAAACATTGGGAATGTCAGTCAGGAGTAAGTAGGTTTTTCTCTATAACAGGGAAAGCGTTGAAAATGTTTCTAGAAGTGGAAGATCATTGGTATTAGGGAAAAGGGGAGACAGACAAATTGTAAGGATGGCTACGACTAATAAAAAAGCTCCATTGTCAGGCATTGCCACGAATTATATCTTCAAGAACAGTGAGGCGAATATTAAGTTTTCATGGGGTATACCAGACGTAAAGTGACAAAACGCTTACCTTTAATGCTATAGGAAAAAACGAATTTCCTTGTGTAAACAAAACTTATATTGGATTAAATTGCTTGATCATTGAAAATCAGTAATTTTTAGTGGTTAAGATAAATAGAAACAATGAGATTGGTGTTTGGAGAAAATCTGTTGTAGTTAAGCGGCATGAATGTCTTGGGAAGCGTAGAGGCAACCAGTTGTCGGGAATATTGACTCAGAAAAGAATAGAATGTCTAGATCAGAACGTGTGCCCTGTAATTGCTAATAATATTCCAAAAGGGGGATATCTCTATATCAAGAAGACAATGCCCTAGTACACACTTCAAGGAAAACAACCCAGTGTAAAAATGATACCAATATAAGATGTATGTCGTGGCCATCACAGAGTCCTGATATAATTGAAAATGTCTGAAACACAATTGAAATCAAGCTTTAAAATAGAAATATTTGATAAAATATTAACAAAATCTGATAGACAATGTTAAGAAAGTTTGGTACGACCTCCCAGTTCACTACATTCAGAGTCTGTATTCATCTATTCCACGGAATCCGTGAAGTTGTCATTAGCAGGGGCCACATTATCAAGAATTGAAGACAATAAAAGGAACAAAAATATGATAAACAAGATCAACAAGGAAAGGCGGCGTTCAATGAACGCAACCCCCATATGACCCAGCAACAAGAACCAGTGTTAAAGTTCTGTTCTGTTAACAAGTTCTGTTAAAAGACAGTTATTTTAAATTTTAATTTGAAAAAAACAAGCACCTTGTTTGTACCCATTTTAATGACTCACTGTGACATAAACAGTGTGTTACAGCTATGTCAACAATGGCATTGTGTTTCTTTTCAAGTAATTAAAATTGCGTGTAAATATCAAAAGAATGATTTGAATAAATTTGTAAAAAATGTTTAATAAGTATTAGACAAAAGTGCTTAAAATATGATAAACAAGATCAAACCAGGAAAGGCAGCGTTCAATGCTTAAACTTGGGATAAGAATTTGGTTGTTTTATAATATGTTGACATACTTACCGCAGTACTCGTCTGCGCCATCTAAACAGTCGGTGGTAAAATCACATAACTGTGACACATGTATACACCTTCCATCAGTGCATTGAAAATGGTCATTGGTGCAATCGCCTAAACAATACAAAACAATTCAAAGATACATACAAGGGTTAGCATTTTTAGAATATTTTAGGTGTTATTATATTTTTTTATATAATATATTTTAGATTGTGTTCTCGCCGTTGTTTTGAAAAAAATAAATTTTTGATAAACATGTAATTACTTCATGTGCAGAATATAATAAACAAGATCAACAGGGAAGGGCGGCGTTCAATAAACACGACCCCTAAACGACTCATGATCAGCAACAAGAACCAGCGGCAAGGGACCCTGGATGACATTTGCTAACCCTCATAATTATATGAGTTACAAGTCCTTTTTAAAATATTAGATTGTTGCATCTACAAGAACAAAATAATTCAAGCACAATCAAAGTATTATTAATACACGTAATAACGTTGTATCAAATGTTATGCTGATTAGGTTACACAAATGTCTAGGCTTCTATCTAGTTAAAACTAGTTTATAAAAAATTGGTTTAGTTTCATTAGGCTATTGAATCACTCTCAAAACTTTCTATTAGAAGCTGATAATATATAGAGGATATTCAACTATTAATTATAAATACAGGATATATTTTCATTGAGTAGTATGATAATAAATATTTTACATGTGTCAGTAGCCAACAGTGAATTTTGATAATTTTCATATCACAAGATAATTTAAATCCTGTATTTATAGAAGCAAACTTAAGTATTCTGTTTATTATATACTTTTTTCTTTCTTTAGAACATGAATAGAAAAAGAACTCTCTTCAATGTTGTGTATTGACTGAATTTAGAGCAAGACACCTGTAAAAAAAAGGAAAATATCTTTCACTGCAGTGAAAAATATTATTCCGTGAAAATACAGAAAATAAAAATACACGTTTTATTCCATCAATATTTCTCCATATATCATATTTAAATAAAGATGTGTCAAAAGATGTTATATACTTTCACAATCAAGTTCGTCTTGCAGATTTGAACATTCGACATATCCATTACATCTGGCCAATATTGATACATATTCACCATTCCCACAACTCCACGTAGAATAAGTGTTTAACGTAAATTGCTGTTGAATTTCATCTGAAAATATATTTTCATTTCTTATAAATAAATTTTGAGAACATTTAGATGTGTTAAAGAAAAATAATCCAGCGTGAATATATGTTATAAGATACAAATGTCTTAAAATTATTCTGCAGTTTATACAAATTATGAGTTATTTTTTAAGTAGAGTGAATACTTGCAGGAGTTAAAATAAGAGACGGGCAGGGCTTACAAGTAAATATTAAACATGTTTAATTCTATTGTAGCACTTGATATATAATAATTATTTCTACCTCCTTCTCTTTCAAATCAATTCATCAAATAATACTGGTATCAATTTTTATATCCAAGATTAACAGTACTTAACATAAAAAAATTTACAACGGCTTAAATTTGGAACCATGTTTTTGCATTGATCAGAATTTCACAAGATTCTCATGACACTTTATACAACTATGTAAAGATCAAATAATTAAATGCATTACTGTACAATCTCTATACCATGTAAGTTGGTCCTCATCAAAGGTTGAAAAATGTTTAAAATATAATAGCCAATATATATTTATATATTTATACATGTAGAAACAAATTCTTTCTTCAATGAATGAGCTTTATCAAATATATTTTTGTGGGGACACAATAATTTTTATTAATATATTTTGCTGATGAAATTTTAATCGATATTTATCACCATATGTAAAGTCAAACCTTTTATTTTATACACTCTATTCGAAACTATAGCTTTTATGCTGCTTTGGTAGAAGCTGTTACTTAAGTTAACGTAAAGGTATACTGGTATGCCATCAGCTAACTCTGTGTAATAAAAACCCGTGGACAACACGGCAGCTTGAAGTCCACGGCAGTCAAGGTGACATTCTGTGTATGTTCTAAAGTATCCTTGTTGAGCCAAACTTCTGAAAGGATAGTTCTCGGCGCCCTGAAAGTATGTAGAACAATATCAATAGAAAGTACAAATGTATTTTTGTTTTCATTCCCATTAAGTAAATAATGTCATATTATAAGTCAACTGACATTTTCATACTTCTTTGTAAAGAATACTAACTAAATATAAATAAGTAAAAACTGTATGACTAAAATATCTCGGCTTTCGCAGATAGTGAAGCGTAATACCGTTTTTATATATAAGATTTTATGCACACATACAATAATTTATGTCATTGTCCCTGCTCTCCGTAATGTTCAGAATTTACTCGTTAAGTGTCGGGTTTTAGCTAAGTGCAGGATTGTTTAAATTCTAAGCCAATCAATATCAAGATCAAAGTCACGTGATGCTGATTAACCAATCATTACTTGACAATACATATAAAGTTTTGAGAAACAGTGTTAAGGCTATTACAACACTTGCCCAACTCGCAGATCCGACATTTTTTTAATTTATTATAATATAATCAAGTGAACATAATACTATGTTTATTTTCATTCCTTAAAAATGTATGAAGTCATCATAGTACGTGTATGTTGCTAGTTCAGGCGGTTGTGCGTTCACTAAACGCCGCCCGTTTGTTGTTGGCCTTTTTTGCAATATTTTATAATTCTTGCGAATATTCAATATATTTTTATTGATGCGTAAAAGATAAATCAAACATATGTGACATGTCTAACGTCATATCAGGAGGACAATATAACTGTATATGATACATTTAATACACGAATATCGACTTTACTGGAAAAGCAGTGAACGTGTTGTAACATTTAGTTTATTTCTATTGGTTTAAACATATCAATTTTAGCTCGATTGCGAAACAAGTTCTTGCAACTTCTATGAATTACTTTCAAGTCCGCTTCCTAGAACCAACAGCACTGACATCATAATATTATGAAGAAACATGGTCGTTCCACCGTTCCCCTTCAATTGTATTAATATGTCGCTTACCACTTTATAAAACCATGCTACATATATCTCCTCGGCGTGGCAAATGCAGCCTGTTGTTATCGAAATAAAGCCGGAAGAATTGTCTTTCGTCTCATTTAGCTTGACATCATATTCACCATAAATTTCTAGAAACAAAACCGCTTGTTATTGTCATAAGGCACCTAATCGTCATTGGTTTTTACAATTATGAAACGACATAAATGAAATATATGTAGGTAAGTAATCTTCAGGAAGTTTGGCCAAACTTGGTCTATTGATAGATCCCTATTCTGACCTTTTATATGTTTGACAAGAGACGGTATGTGCTGTTTTGTTATTATGTATGTTAAACGTTTTGATGACATTTCTATTGTAATCCACTAATATAATGATAAGAATTTAGACAGCTTAGTGATCTCTGCATTGTTGTGCTTTGTATATACACTGTAAATGTCTTTTACTATGGATAGTAGTTATTTTTTATTTGAGATACTTACATATTTTTATATATTTTCTCTCAAAAACATCGTAACCAACCTGGTATATATTTATGTTTTTATTTATTTAATTGCTGTAATTTCGGATTGTTATCAACATAAATATGAAATCTCGAATGTATTGTCTAATTGTCTACTGTAAAATATTTCTCTTTGTTATATATCCTATCTTATAATTGTTTTATTTGTTATACAGCATAGGTTCTTCTTCTAAGTACCTGAAGAAAACAAAATACCCCGTCTACATATAACAGCTATGTAATAAACTATGTGATAACAGACCTGCTTCATTTTCACTTTTATAATATTTTTCGCACACTACAAATGCAGATAATGGCTGGTCACAGTCAATACTTCTCCAAGATGACAGGGGACGAATGGTTGTATAAGTCATAAAAGTACATTGTTTGCTGGATACCTCTTCGGGTTGATAATCTTCCCTTGAAGTCAAAACAGAAAACTAGTCAAATAACATATAACATATTGAAGTTTTAGCTTAGAACTACAAATATAAAATAAGTGTACCTTTTAAGACTTTATATCGTTGATACATTACAATTAAAAGACAAAGCCAAACATTATATGTTGTTCCTTGTGAAAAACACCACAAAATATGCGTTCCTGGCTTGCAATTAACATTTTACCTGTAACCGAAAGTGATTTGAAATATTGTGGATCTTGAACAGTCCATGTTATTTGATCAAGCCTCTTAAATGAATCAATAACATTTTAGAGTCTGGTAAAACGGCACTGAAAAGCAGGCTTTTCAAATTTTTCATTAATTAGATTTCCTTTCCCGCCCTTCGCTGCTCCTGTGTCCTCCCGCGTGTTTTGGTTCAATGCTTTATGGGTGCCCTGCTGGTGTGGCTAGTTTGTGTCGGGGCTGCGTTCTCTGACATCGCCTTACCTTGATGATCTTAGTTCTCTTTTTAATGATTGCGAAATGAATTAACAACTACTTCCTTTTGCTGTTTTTTATATCGGAAATATATAAAATACATACCAAGCCGTAAAGGACAACATTCTTCCGTCAATCCATTGTTCATTTATAACCGCTTCGGCGTTGATGTAACGAAATAGTCCTTAGAAATAAGAAAACGAAATAGGTATATTTTATTACAACCGTCTAAATGATGTTTCAAAATAAAATATGTAAACAGATATGCCGTGTGATCATAACCTTACTTTAAATAGTTATTGTTTGACTTTTTAAAATGTTGTGCACAATCAATATATTTAATTGTGATAACTTTCTTAGTAAAGGTACACTATGTGAACTCTACTTAGAAAGAACTGTATTTTAATACATAAATTATATCAAACAGAAAACTGTTATGTCCTTGATAAAAATGTCCTTGATAAATATTTATTTATTTTATTTTATTTATACATTTTTTGTTTGTTTTTTGCTTCCTTTTTTTTGAGTATATATTAATTATTTTTTAGGATATTATTTTTCCACTTTTTAAAATGAGTTTCCTTATCCATTGTCATTCCATTACGCAATATACTGTACTATAGAGAATGAAACATTTAGTGACAGATATACCTATATAGACATTCGTCGTTTCCTTGCTATTATTCCTTGCTGTATACTCCTTGACATATTGCATTTCACGTTGAGAACCAAAACTGACCAGCGCTCTGTCGGATTGTTTGCATAGTTCAAATGATTCTGTCCAAGTTGACTTGACATTATTCGACTGCTTAATGTTGTAGCATTTTTTAAACTCGGGACTACAAACTAGTAAAAATGTTGTACATTTTAAAATTGCAATATTTACATTATAAGTAAAGATATAGTGAATTAGTATTTTTTATTGGATTTCAAGATACTATTTTGTATATATTTTGCTACTTTAGTAAAAAAAAAATATTTCACACTTTTTCTTTTGCGAAACTGAATAAAAGTTACTAATGCATTTACTTTGACTTGAGACATTGTTTTTTTCTGCAAAAATATTACATTTGTGACGGCACTTCGGTGGTGTTACTAACGTACCCTCTCATGCCTGAACTAATTTACAGAGGGGCGCCAGAGGTCTTCCTCTATCAGTAAATCTGGACATTTACAGTGCTAGTGCAATGTAAATCCCCATACAAAATACCTTCTGTCCCGGTAGAGGCATCCGTTAACGATTGCAAAGTACGCCCAAATTCATATCTCAACCGAAACCCTTCTACATCCGGATACCAAGGGCAATATTCCTCCTGAATTTTGAGAACTATCTTTATGGTCGTTATCCGCATTTCAATGGGCTTTACCGTTGACTTCATATTACAGTAATCCTTGTCAATTGTTAAGGTTGACCCTTTAATTAAAATGTAAATATACTTTAAAATGTATCAAATACAAGAACCTATTTGACATGGTCTATGTCATGAAAAAATAACAGAGAACGAATACTTTACAACGCTAGAAATATACGTTACTAGGCTTTTTCTATGATGAATTGGATTATTATAGAATTTTAGACTTAAAGTGATACACAGGCAAAGTTTTCATTTCTTCCTTTTGAATTTTTCATTCATTTATCTGTAAATGTCCTCAAAATGAATACACAAGGCAGTCACAGCAACAAAACTTTTCTCTTTATAAAGAATAAAATGGTGATTTCCTAACCTGACCCTCAAGGGTCAGGTTAAAGTGTCAAGATTTCAGAATAGTGATATCTGGAAACGTTAAAGAACATGTCCGATGAATGATTTAGATTTGTTTCAATCATACTATATCCACAATATATGTTATTGTAACTTCCAGGGTTTGTTTAAAACACATTTCTAGTTTTAAAACTACACGGTGATTCTGTCGGCGTCTACTTGTCCTTCAACATATATTAGTATATTTACGCTTCAAACAGAAAATTTATAGAATTTTTTACAGATGTTTACAAATGTCATTTGAGCGTGATTTGAGTACATATGATAATTTTGATATTTTTGTCATAAATTTGCCTGAGTATCTCTTTAACCTTCAATACCATTGGGATTATAACCCACTTAAATCTGGCCTTATTGTTGTAAGGGGCTTGCCAAGGTTTAACTATGGCACATTCGTTTAAACGTTAAGAGATTGCAATACAACATACATGATTTGAGCTATACTAACAGTACCTGATCAGACTGCTTACCTGGATCCATACTGATGGCTGACAAACTTTAATTTCTTTCGGTTGAAGAGTATTGGCAAAGTTAAAGGTAAATACTTAATTTATTTTAGGCAAGTACTTATTCGAAGGCAGCAGTATTGTCATAAATTACAAAACGGAGTTTGGAGCAAAATTTGTTATCCATCTAAATAATTATATCTATTACTGAAAAAACACAATATCAAATGTAAGCTTGGATTCTAAGGAATATAAAGTTTCTGAGAACACGTGTTTTCCTTCATCTTTCAAGAACTCATTAGTTTGTTGCATATAAAACTATGAGAAAGGCATTTTCCCCTTCTGTTCCTGTTATAAACTTTTATACGGCTATAGAACGAAATAAATCGTTTACTTTAAATGATAAATTGATAAGAAAATACCTGAAAAACATGATATTTGCATTTCCTCTATGGTGATTAGAATAAATCTGTAAGTACTTGTATCAATATCAAAAGATATTTGCCAAATTTCAGAGTCTCCAGACATTGTAACATCTATAAAGCTACTGGAAGCTATTTCCATCGACCGGAATAAGCACTTGTAATTAGACATCGTGCACGACATAATGTCTGTAAACATACACAAATACTTTTAAACTAATTGTTTTTAAACCAAAAACTTTAATGTTGTCTTTTAAAATGTTATGATTGTATTGTAAATATAATGAATAGTCAACCTTCATGGCTGAGTGGCTAAAATATGATAAACAAGATCAACAAGAGCCCGGTTTAGGTTTAGAAGAAAGTACACCTCTTGTAGTTTCAGAGTTATGTCCCTGGACAAAGTTCAAAGTGCAATAATCCAGAATAAGGCAAGGAAGAGTAATTGTTCTTTACACTGGACTTCAAATAAATGAAGAAATATATCTACCTACAAAGTTTCATGTTGATACCTGTTATGATGTCCGAGTTATGTCCCTGACAAAGTTTAAATATAAAAATGAACAACGGGCAATAACTCCATAAGGCAAGGTAGAGTTACGTTTCTTATGCACTGCACATTTGCCTTTTAAGATCTATCAACCTACAAAGTTTCATGTTAAAATCTCTTATAATTATAGAGTTATGTCTCGACATGATTTTTCAAAAAGTGGAGATAATTCAATTACAGGGCTAACAAGATATATAGTTCCTTTGCACTGCACCTTTACCAAATGAGATCTATCGATCTACAAAGTTTCATGTTGATATCTCTGATAACTTTAGAGAAATATCCCGGACAAAGTTCAAAGTGTAAAAATAATTAAAGGGCAGTAACTCCAAAATAAGGCATGACAGAGTTACGGTTTTTATGCGCTGCACCTAATATCATTGAGATTTATCTACCTACAAATTTTCATGTTGATATCTCTTATAATTTTAGAGAAATGTTTCGGACAATGTTTTAAGTGTACAAATGAGCAAAGGGCAATAACTCCAAAATTAGGCATGGCAGAGTTAAAGTTCATGTGCACTGCACTGCAACCCATTGAGATCTATCTAACCACAAAGTTTTATAGTTTTAGAGATATGTCCGGACAAGATTTTTCTAAAACAAGAGAGAATTCAAAAATGGGCAAAACAGAGTTCTGGTTCTTTGACAATGTACTCCGCCTCGATGTCTTCTACTATTGTGTGAAGTGTAAACAAACCATCTCCAAAGGTTTTCAAGTTATGCTCCGGACAAGACAACGGACGGACTGACGGACGGACGGTGAGACGGACAAGGCGGCGACTTTATGCTCTCCCTTCAGGGAGCATAACAAGGAAAGGCGGCGTTCAGTGAACGCAACCCCCACGCGACCAAGCAACAAGAACCATTGGCAAGGAGCCCAGGCGGACCCCAAACAAAAATAGGACAGGCACAAGGCAGAGCACGGACAGGCTAATCACTGAAATGATGAATAATTTGTAACTGAATAGGAATTTAGAGAAAACAAATAAATGATTGAAATAATATGTAACTAAGGCAGTCAAAGAAAACAAAGAAATGATTGAATAATAGGCCCACAAAGTCAAAGGGCACAGGGGAAGAGAAAAGGAGACCCAGGGAAGGGGGTGGGGTAAATAAAAGAAATATGACTAGGGGCAAAGGAGAAAATACCGCAGACGAGAAAACAACAATGTTGCTGAATTTTCATCACCTGGTCTCACCACTGCGTGTTTGAATTCCGCCAAGAACTTTGATTCTTTGATGTGTGGAAGCTGCCGAGCTAGCTTATGAAAAATCGATTGTTCTTGTTTGTTTGTTTAGGTTTAATAGCACATTGACACATAACTGCCTATTCCGCGGCAAACACTGTTCTGACGGTTAACAAGAGAAGGCAGATGATTATAGCATGAAGTTTTTTAAAAAATGGCTTGGTC